GTCTAAAACTTAAAATAACTGCTATCTGCTGGTAAATACTAAATTCATATTTTTATTTTAACTTTTTGTTCTTTTTTAATGTGTGTGTATGCTTTGGCTTGTGTTGCTTAGAAAGAAATATTATTGAATTTTAAAATATGAAAAGCACACCTAGAGGCCCCTATCCAATCAAGTTTCTACAGGTGGAAACCGGAAATTATTTCCTTGAGAAAGGATCTCACATCTACTGAGTCTGACTCTGGTCTTTGAGAAGGCAACACACAAAACACTTTCCTAAGAAATTGGTCCACTCTTTTGTTCACTTTTCCTCTGCTGTCTGGACTATTCTCACTTTTCCACTCCTGTCTGGGCTATTCTCCTACAGGCTCTGTAGTCAGAATGGGTTGTTATGTTGTTGTTATGTGCCGTCGAGTCGCCTGCGACTCATAGCGACCCTATGTACAACAGCCCTAAACTCCGCTCTGTCCTGTGCCAATCGCACTGTCTCTGACACTCCCATCCCAATTATCCCAGTCACTGAATCAATCCACCTCATAGGGGGCCTCCCTCTCCTGCGCCGTCCCTCCACGCTCCCAAGCATGATGTCCCTCTCTAAGGACCAGTCTCTCCTCACTAATGTCCAAAGTAAGTTAGACGGAGCCTCAGAATCCTTGCCTCCAAGGAGCCACCCGGTTTAACCCTCCCCAGGACAAATCTATTTGTTTTCCTAGCAGTCCATGGTATTCTCAACACTCTTCTCCAGCACCACAGCTCAAAGGCATCAGTTCTCCTTCTATCCTCCTTGGTCATTGTCCAACTCTCTGATGCATAACAAGTGATTGTGAAGACCATGGCCTGTATCAGACGCACCTTAGTCTCCACAGAGACACCACTGCTCTTCAGTACTTTGGAGAGGTCCCTAACAGCAGACTTTCCCATGGCAATGCGCCTTTTAATTTCCTGGCTGCTGATGCGAAGACTGTTGACTATGGAGCCAAGCAGACTAAAGCTGTGTACAATCTCAATCTCTTCACCATCCATCCTGATGCTGCCAATTGGTCCAGTGGTGAGAATCTTTGTCTTCTTGACATTGAGCCTCAATCCATATTGGAGGCTGCAGTCCTTGACACTCTGCAGCAGGCGCTTCAGGTCCTCCTCAGTTTCAGCAAGCAGGGTTGTGTCATCCGCATAACGCAGACTGTTGATAAATTGTCCACCAATCCTGACCCCACATTTCTCCTCATAGAGCCCAGCCTCCCGGATAATCTGTTCTGCATATAGGTTGAAAAGGTATGGAGATAGGATGCATCCCTGGCGTACGCCCTTCCCAATTTTGAACCATGCAGTGTTCCCTTGCTCTGTTCTGACGACTGCCTCCTGGTCCAAGTATAAGTTTCGCATTAGAACGATCAAGTGTTCTGGGATTCCCATTCTTCTCAGAGTCAGCCACAGTTTGTTATGATCTACATAGTCAAATGCCTTTGCATAGTCAATGAAACACAGATAGACATTCCTCTGATATTGCCTGCTTTCAGCCAAGATCCATCTAACATCAGCTACAATATCTCTAGTACCACGACCCCTTCTGAAACCAGCCTGGACTTCTGGTAGTTCTCTGTTGATTTGCTGTTCCAGTCGTTTTTGGATAATCTTTAGTAAAATCTTGCTTGCATGTGAAATCAGTGAAACTGTTCTGTAGTTTTCACATTAGGTTGGGTGGCCTTTCTTTGGGATAGAACAAATATCGATCTCTTCCAGTCAGTTGGCCAAGTGGTTGGAATGGGAGGATGGTTCAATTCCTGTCATACACAAGGGGTTGGAGCACTAAGGAAAAGTCTTGGAGATTATCAAACCCAACTTCCTCCTTTTTTAGAAGAGAAAAAGAGGACTTTGTGAAGTAAAGCAATCATACCACAGCAGCACATTAGGTTAGGGCAGCTGTTGTTTGGTGCTGTTGAGTTGGCTCTGACTCATAGAGACTTCATGTCCAACAGAGCAAAAATCAACTGACCCAGAGTCATCTTCACAATCTCTACTGTGTGGAAGGTCACAGCACAATTAGAACTATGGACATTGTGGACAGAACATTTACCTTTTATTGCAGTGGGGCATGGGAGGAAGCCATCCTGGGCATTGCTGGGTGTTTAGCAGCACTCCTGGTCCCTATCCACCAACTACAGTAGTAATCCCACCTCCTAACAGTTGTTGTTGTTCGGTACTGTAAAGTCAGCGCTGACCCACGCTGATCCTCCAGAAGGTGCTCAAAAGCAGTAAATCACATAGGAGGAGACTACATATTGTTCTCCTGCACAGCAGGTGGTAGATTTGAACTTTGTATCTTTTGATTGGCTGTTTAATTTCTTACCACTATCCTACAGAGCTCCTAGCAGTGGCAATTCCATATATCTCCAGACATTATCAAATATCTTCATGGAAGAGCTGCTGTTTTCATGTGCCATCAAATCAACTGTCACTCATAGAAGCTCCATGAGAAATGGATCTGAACCCTGCCCCATCCTATACCATTCTCATCATCTTCAACATACATGAGCCCATTTTTACAATCACCATGTGAATCCAGCTTATCGAGGAAGAGCCTTTCACTCTTTTGGTGACCTTCCATGTTTCCCAGAAGGAAGCCCTTCTCCAAAGACTTGCCCCTCCTAAAACACAGTATGTGAGATGAAGTTTGACCATCTTTGCTTCCAAGGAGCACCCTGGTTTCATTTTCTCCAAGACAGAGCTGTTTTGGGGTCCGCCCCCCTTGGCAGTTAATTGCGTATATGGTGCTCTTCTCCAGCACCACAACTCAAAGGCATCTTTAGTTATTGTTCACCTTTCAGATGTGTAGAAAGTAATTTAGAAGACCATTCATTGCATGGATCAGGTGCACCTCAAACTGACATCATTGCTCTTTAGTACTCTGGAGAGGTCTTTAACAGCAGATTTTCCCAATGTGACACATTTCTTTATTTCCTGATTGTTGGTACCAATGATATTGATTATGAATCCAAGTAAGGTGAAACACTGACTAACCACATCAATCTTTCTCCATTCTTCATGATGCTATTGATTCAGTGGAGAGGATTACAACAAATTGTGGGTAACTGTGAGGAAAATGGGAAACCCAGAACACTTGATTATGCTCATCATGTGAAACCTACACTTGGACCTTCAGGAAGCAGTCCTCAAAACAGAGCAGGGAAACACTGCATGGTTCAAAATCAGGAAAGGACTGGATCTGGGATGTGTCCTGTCTCCATATCTTTTCAGTCTATATACCGCACAGATCATCCAGGAAGCAAGGATCATTTTATGAGGAAGAATGTGGCATCAGGATTGGAGAAAGACTAATCAACAACCTATGTTATGCAGATAACACAACCTTGCTTGCTGAAACTGAGGAGGACCTGAACCACTTGCTGCAAAAGGTCAAGGACTATAGTCTTCAATATGGATTGAAGCTCACCATCCAAAAGACAAAGATTCTCACCACTAGGCCAATTGGCAGCACCATGACAGATGGAGAAGAGATTGAGGTTGTTAACAATTACAGCTCGCTCAGCTCCACAACCAACACTCTTAGCACCAGCAGTCAGGAAATCAGATAGATTGCATTGGGAAGATCTGTTGTCAGGGACCTCTCCAGAGTAATGAAAAATAACAGTGTCAGTGTAGAGACTAAGGTGTGCCTAATCAGGCCATGGTCTTCATAATTACTTGCTAGGCACCAGAGAGCTGAACAATGACTAACAATGACAGAAGAAAAACTGATGCCTCCGAATTGTACTGCTCAAGAAGAGTCTTGAAGATACCATGGACCACCAAGAAAACAAAACAAAACAAAAACCCAAACAAGAAATGGTCTGTCTTGGAGAAGGTGAAACCAAGTTTTTCCTTGGAGACTAGGATTTTGAAGCTCTCATGGCATGTAGCCAGGAGAGACTGGCCCTTGGAGAAGGACCTCATGCTCAGAAGGGTGGAGGGACAGCGTAGGAGAGAAATACCCTAGAGGAGATAGACTGATACAGTGGCTGAGGCAATGGAGGCTGGTGTACTGTAATCAGGGAGGCTCAGGACAGAGCAGGCTTCAGAGCTGCTGTACGTAGGGTCGCTATGGGTCTCAAGCAACTCAACAGCACGTAACAACGATGTAAAGATGCGTACCATCCATATTGAAGGTTGTAGTCTTTGATCATCTGCAGCAAGCACTTCAAGACATTATCACTGTCAGTGAGAAAAGCTGTGTCACCTGCATAAGGCAGGTTGTTGAGGAGTAACGCAAAATTGTGTCCAGTTGAGAACCAATGGCACTAGGTTAGAAACAAGTACAATTGGGAACTAAATCCTAGTTTTGTTTATAAGTACCATATTTTCACACAAAGAATGCATGCATCATATATTTCTAAAAACTGTGGAACCCACTTGCATATTACTTCCCATGTATTTTACATACATGTGTTATTTACATGGATACCTTATTTGCAAAACTTATGGGAAATATTTGGAGATCAGTGACATACAATCCTTTATACCAATTACATGCCAAACAACATTTTTAACAAGCTTTTGGAAGAGTCAGCAGATCTGAACTCACTGCATTTACTCATCTAACGGTGTGCAGAAGATGTGAAACAGACACAAATATCTGTATCTGTAAATACATAGGCTGAAACTATGGAAATATGAAACTATGAGACTCTTATTTTTGGTTAGGCAAAACAGAGTAGTGCCATGTTAAAAGATATTTTGGGAAAAATCATCCCCCCACAAATGGTAAAATCCTTACCACCCTTACATAAACTGCTTACGTACAGAATCATATTTTTTAACGAAAATTTAAGTTGTTGAATCATCTATTACACTTCAGATCAAGAGCTGAGGCTTCAAAAATCAATGCTCTCAAAAGCGTCAGATTCCTCCCATTTCCAGCACTTCTGGAAGCCACTGATTTCAGGGTTCCAGGCAATGCCAGTGTGATTTACCTCACTCAGATATGCTCAGAAACGCTCAGATATTACCTGTTTCTCTTTTTCCGGTGTTCTCTGTTAGAGTTTTCTGATTCACTGCCACTGCTCGTGTTACAACGTGAGCGGGACCTGAAGACAGTGTGAGAAAAGATTAAAAAAAAAAAAAGACAAACGCTGCAAGTTTTTTATTAAGTATTTCAGAAATGTTCATGTTGATTCTCAGGAATTAATTCTCCAGTAAAATTAGAAATAAAAAATAAATAGCTTTATTATTCTTCTTCTAGTCAGTCAGACACCTAGATAAGTTTAAAGCTCAGGGAAACAGCAAGTCAAGGGAAATGTGTAAGCAGATTAAGGCGTAAGAGCTGTAAAATCAAGCACTTCCAACAAAGCATGGCAATGGCTTTCTTTTTTGAAAGAAAGAGTAAAATAGAGGGGGGGACTTCTAAAGTAGCCACTGAAACACAAGAAAGAAAATGTTGACTTGTCCCTTCTCTATTCCAGGTACACCCTCTCACTTATCAACATGGTTAGTTTCAAACAACAGGTTGCAAGACAAACACTAGCATTTTGGAAAAATGGAAGAATTATCACATCAGCTCACAAAATGAAAGTTGGCTGCATCTTACAAAGCTGCCAAATTACTTCATTACTTAATTTCTAAATTGCATCATTACATAACTGCAAACCCCTGAGAATCATGGCCAAATAACCGTGATTACTAATGTCAATGTAAATCACATCAATAATCGTTGACAAATAACCTTAATTATCACATTCAACGTTATTCTGGCCTCCCAACATGGCATTCATTACTGTTAGACATATGTTAATGTGCAGAATAGTTGGATACATATTTTTTCACTATTACAAATAGTGAAAAATATAAAATGTAAGTTAATAAGCAGTGAGGAGTAAGAATACTATTAATCTGCTAATCCTTCCTCTTTCTCCCTTTTCTCCTTTCATTTGGTTCCTTTACCTCCTCCTTTGCTTTAGGTCTGAGTCTTCACCACTATTATGGGCTTTCCTGTGGGAGACAAAGGAAGTATATCAAAACGAGTTCACGTCTATTGATGTCTATTTGTACATATTCATTCAATAATCAAACATTTATGTTACACACTGAAGCCAGAAGCATAATTGAACTGATGCTGTCACTGGCCTCAACAAGCTAGAAACCTAATGGAGTCTGCAAATATGGACCAGACATCCTACTTCCTTTCCTAATTTAAGCACTCTGTTTCTGTAAAGCTCTTCTGAATTTTTTCATCATGTAAGCTTCTAATCCATGCTTCCCCTGCATCCACAGATGACTTTGTTTTCTCCTTCCAAAAGGAAAAAGTACCCACCTGATGGGAACTCGTTCACTTTCCTGCTACCCAGAAATAAAAACTTACCAACATCTCCTTCTGTTATTTATGGAACTGTCCTTACAAGAAGGGTCAGGCTCTCTACCTCTGCAACGTGAGTCCCATCCCCACTTGTCCAATGACCATCACAAACATATTTTCCTCTCACACAATTTCCTCACCCAGAATTTCTAGTAAACACTTTTCATCAGCATTTAACATTCTCAGGTCTCACCCAGTTAAACAAACAGATGAATCTACTTTGACCTCCTATTTGCAATCAACTCTGTCAAATCACGCCCCTCTCTTTCAAAGCCGAAATTGTTAAGAGAGGAGTCTGGGTCTCTTCTCACTTCTTATTGTTTATTATTTAGTGTCTCTTCACTTTTGGCAAGTGGATACAGCTCTTTAATATATCCATCCCATTTCCCCAATCTACTTAAGTAATATAACATAAATATGATGTGGTTCTTATCCTTACATGAATTTTAAAGAAATAACTAGTTAGAAAAAGGAGCCCTATAGTATACTACATTACATACTGGTCCGTTAACTAAAAGGTCATTAGTGTGAATAAACTAGTTGCTCCTTGAGAGAAAGCTGGGTGATCTCCTACTGTAAAGATCTCCAGCCTTGGAAACCCAATGAAGGATTCACAGGAGTAGAAATCAACCAGAGGGCAGTGGGTTTGGTTCTGGTGATTTAGGGTAAGTACAACTATATAAAACCCACTGGAGGCTAAGATATGAGTCATTTCCAACTTGACAGTACCTAGCAACAACAGCTCTGTAAATATTTTACACAAATGGTCTACCTAGTGTTGTAGGATTAGAATACTGTTTGTATACAGAGTCTAACTTTTCTTCTTGTTGTTGTTATGTGCCATCAAGACGCCTGCAACTCATAGTGACGCTATGGACAAGAGCTCTAAACGCTGTTCTATCCTGTTCCAACCTAGTCATCTCAAACGCACTTATTCCCACCGCTCCAGTTACAGAATCAATCCATCTCAGCGAAGGTCTTCCTCTCCTTCACCGCCGTTCCACTCTGCCAAACATGTTGTCCCTCTCCAAGGACCAGTCCCTCCTTGCAACATGCCCAAGGTATGTCATACAAAGCTTCAGAATCCTTGACTCCAAGGAGCATTCCAGCTTCACCTTCTCCAAGGCAAACCTGTTTGTTCTCCTAGCAGTCCATAGTATATTCAACACTCTTCTCCAGCACCACAACTCAAAGGCATCAATTCTCCTTCTATCATCCTTATTCACTGTCCAACTCTCTGATGCATAGTATGTAATTGCGAAGACTATAGCCCGGATCAGGCACACCTTAGTCTCCAGTCTGGCATCGTTGTTCTTCAGTACTCTTGAGAAGTCCCTCACAGCTGACTTTCCCAACGCAATTCTTCTCTTGATTTCCTGGCTGCTGTTACCAAGAGTGCTGACGGTGCAACCAATTAAACGAAAACTGTTAACTATCTAAATCTCTTCACTATCCATACGGATGCTGCCAATTGGCCCAGTAGTGAGAATCTTTGTTTCCTTGATGTTGAGCTTCAGTCCATATAGGAGGCTGGAGTCCTTGATCTGCAGCAAGCGCTTCAGGTCCTCCTCAGTTTCAGCAAGCAGGGTTGTATCATCTGCATAATGCAGGTTGTTGATTATTCTTCCACCAATCCTGATGCCACATTCCTCTTCATATAGCCCAGTGTCTCAGATGATCTGTTCTGCATACAGACAAAAGGTATGGAGACAGAATACATCCCTGACAGACCCCCTTCTTGATTTTGAACCATATAGTGTCTCCCTGCTCTGTTCTGACAACTGCCTCTTGGTCCAAGTATAGGTTTCACATTAGCACAATCAAATGTTCTCCGAGTCAGCCATACTTTGTTGTGATCCACACAGTCAAAAGCCTTTGCATAGTCAATAAAGCACAGATAGACATTCTTCTGGTATTCTCTGCTTTCTGCCAAGATCCATCTAACATTAGCTAAATATCCCTAGTACCACGACCTCTTCTAAATCAAGCCTGCACATCTGGCAGTTCTCTGTTGACATATTGTTCCAAACGTTTTTGGATAATTTTCAGCAGAATCTTGCTTGCTTGTGATATTAATGATATTGTTTGATAATTTCCGCACTCTGTTGGATCACCTTTCTTTGGAATGGGAACAAATATCAATCTTTTCCAGTCAGTGGGCCAGCTGGCTGTTCTCCAGATTTCTTGGCCAACTTAGTGAGCACATCCAGGGCAGTGTCTATTTGTTGAAATATGTCAATTGGTATGCCGTCAACTCCTGGAGCCTTGTTTTTTTGCCAATTCCTTCAGAGCAACTCGAACTTCCTCCTTCATCACCACAGGCTCTTGCTCATATGTCATTTCATGAAATTCTTCTGTGTCAGCCAATTTTTTCTGATACAGTGACTCTGTGTATTCCTTCCATCTTCTCTTGATACTTCCTGGATCATTTAATATTCTACACAATGTATCCTTAAGTAGTGCCACCTGTGGCTTGAATTTGTTTTTCAGCTCCTTCAGCTTAAGAAATGTTGAGCGAGTCCGGCCCTTTTGATTTTCTGACTCCAACTCTCTGCATATTTCATTATAGTATCTTGCTTTGTGATGCCAGGCTGGCTTTTGAAATTTCCTGTTCAGCACTTTGATTTTTTGGTTTCTTCCTTTAGCTTTGGCTTCTCGGCGCTCTAATGCAATATTCTGTCTCATCTGACATCCGTCTTGGTCTTTTCTTCTTTTTCAGTCTTTGTAATGATCTTTTGCATTCTTCATGGATGATTTTCTTGATATCCTCCCAGAGCTTTCTATGTACCAATCGCTTGCTTAGTTTTCTTTATGCGTATCACTAACACTGTAAGAGCGCTGATAACCTACTCTTACTATGGACTAATAGTCAGGTAATCAATCATTGTATCTGCATCCCTCCTGGCATCTGGTCACATCTAGATGACTGCTCTACATCTCTTCTATAGCCTCGATACTATTTTCATAGTAATATCACTTTCTCCCAATCAGGGGATTCCTCTGGCTTCATTGAGTGATAGATCTCATATTTCTAGGTCTCACGTCTTGGTGTATTTCATCATCTTGGATGGAGAATATATTTCAATAGGTAACAGAGAAAATGTGTGGGCAAATACATGTTTCTGAGACCTAAGATTTGTGAAACCGTCATAATTTTACAAACAGCATTTATGTGTGCATGGAATCCTCATTTGAAAATAAATTTCTGCTGGGACTTCGAAGACATCATTTTCTCTGGTATTGCTATTGAGCAATCTGACATCATCTGATTCATTGTCTTTGAGCATAAACTTTTTTTCTCCCTCTCTCCCTCCAATGTTTTTAAAGATCTTATCTAAGTCTATAATGTTTTCAAATTTTATGATAATGAACCTTGGTATGGATTTAATTTTTCAATCTGTTATACTTGACACTGAGTAGACTCTATAAAATCACATCTTCCGTTTCAAGGATCTTTTTTCTTAAGTTACCTCTTTAAAGGTTTCCTTTCCTGGATGTGGAGAGGTTGGAACTCTCATACATTGTTTGTAGGTAAGACAGGGAAATGGTAACAACCACTCTGAAAGGCAGTACGACATTCCTCAAAAAGCTGTACTCAGAAATTCCGCACTGCTAGGAATATACCTCGAGGAAAATAGAACTGAGACACAAATGGAGACTTGTTCCCCTGTGACATTCAGTCCCAGGCCTGCATCAGAAACACGGGTGCTCCACACACAGCTAGAATCTGGATTTTCACCTTTTGCCCACCTAACTCAGCATTGGTAACTAACCCCATAGATTCACACAAGACAGGATCTGAGAACACCTTTCAATCTTCTTGATAAGGTAATGCCCATTCTACCAGAATTCCATCAGGTTTATTAATGATCACACTTTTAAGGCAGGACAGTCAGTCCCAGGCCAGTATACCAGATCTAGAGGAGACCTAACCTCATCTTGGAAATAACTTCATCATGACAGCAGTGTGATGTAAAAGCAGAGACCCTAAGTCACCAAACAACAGTCATGAAATCATAAGCTCAGGGGCAAGGATCTTTCCCCAGTAACACCCAAAGAAAACAATCTTTCCCAAAGCTGGTACACAGATTTGGACTTACAACTTATTAAACACAAGGCAGGCATCAGAGCGAGAGACCAGCAGCAGTACATGGTGTAAGACATCACAGTAGGGACTTGTGGCCTAGGCCATCATATCAAGGCATGGCTGGGGAAGGGAGATGCTGGACCAGGTAGGCGTGAGTGCAAGGAATACTAATGTAGCAGGAAAAGGAAAGGAACAAGAAACACATGCTTGGGTGAGGGGACAATGAATATATACGTTACTTCTATAAGGGAAGTGTCTTTCATCTACTCCTTTTCAAGAAAATGGTTTTTTTCTGTAAGATATTGTTCTAAAAGTAAGCATCCAAATTAAGACAGACTAGGAAGAAGGATTCGCCACCCACTTCTGAAATATATCAGGCTTTCAAAAACTCTATGTGCCACAGAGCACAGTTAGAATAGACTAACAGATATGGAGACTGAGGCTGAGCCCCCAAATTTGGAAACACAGAGGAGGAGGAATAGTTGTAAGACGAAATTAATGACTGGAATGTGAGAAGCATGAATGTAGGAAAACTGGACAATGTTAAGA